CTCTACATTGATGTCGTTTTTCATAAGAGGCAGTTCCTGAAAAGGACGTTGTTAGTGGTGTGGCAATAGGACTAAAGACTAACCAGGTCTTCTTTAATAGTTTCTAAAAGATACTCTTCTGCCTAGGTGATGAACTGTTCAAAAGTTCGATAGGCCAAGATCAGAGCCACCGATAAAGTCTGTTTCACTGAATGACTTTAGTTAGAATTGATTGACGACAGACACGTTAAATGAGCCGGACGCTGACAACCGCCTGAAATAAAATTCGATGAAATTGTAGTAAAAAGTACTACCCGATTCGGTAAAGAACCATGACCGTCACGGATGGGAGGTCGCGACGGTGAACCAACCTACATACCCCGCCCGGTAAGACGAGTACGCAATTTACGGGCAATTTATAAAATTTCGTCTAATTAGTTTTTAATTAATGGCGGCCAATTGCGCCCTAATTAAAACTCGTCGTAATCAAAAATACATTTCATAATCTTATCATGACGCAAAACCACAAATTCCGATACAATAACTACACCTCCTGAAGTCTGCTGATGTTTTTGTTTAATCTACTTAGTAAAATCACTATTAGATAGACTATGTGTTTCACCTTACTCGTACAAGAAAAATTACGTAGAAAGGCCAATATCCTCATGAACGACACTTTAAACTCACGTATCACGACTCCAGGCCCGTCTTGAACCACACCAAAAAAACCTTCCACTTGTTAACCACATCGCTTCCTTTCGGTTGTAACGACTTTATGTAAATATCAGTCCAACTTATTGATTATGTAAACAAAACAACACATTCGACGTCAAAAGACCTTACACGGTGGTCTCCGTCGGTAGAAAAGCAAACCAAGCACGAGAGGAGAACCGTCCTAATTGTAGCCACTGTAAAGACCCCATACCTATTCTTCGGACTTCCCATATGCCTGTAAATCTACGGTTCCGGCCGGAGTTCAGGATGAAGGAAGACGACCCTCGTAGGCACCAAGACAGGGACTCGGTTCCTCCCCCCCGACGGAACAGGCCCGACCGTGACCCGCTGAACAAGGTCCCATAATAACGTCGGTGGTGACGTCTGTCCCCTAGGACTCCGAGAGTAAGCCCTTGTACTAGTCCGGAAGTGGTGTCCTTCACTACTCCCGCAAACCACACCCAATAGTTATTCACTTTGCAGACCAATATAGTCGTCCCTTTGTTTAAAAACACGTCTCCCGTACACCACATTAGTGGTCTGTAAAGATTAAGTCCCTTTCTGGGGAGTGGGCCTGGCGGACCATGCCTTTCCTGAACTGAATCTAACTTCGAGAAAAAGTGGTTCCTACTGCTACTCGTACCGACTGCGCCCTACATCGATACAACATTACGTGTTGATAGAAATAAACACGTAATGAAATAAGACCCCACGGTTTGATGATTGATAGGTGTGTGGGCTGTCTTTCATTTTGACACACAGAACAATGTTATAATAAATATACATATTGTATGTTAAATGGATATATCCGCCTTCTTTCATTTATCTTTCCATTCCCACAACAATATACATAAAGAAATGGCATATTTTGGACATAGTTCGAATGGTGATTAAATCATGATTAATTAATTTTTAAGCTGTGATTAAATCTGATTATAATTTTTAATCGTTTGACAGCCCTAATAAAAACGTAAAATATTATACTCAGAATCTGAAAGATGCATTAATTTAGCTGCAAACTGGTGTCTGTTTAGATCACTGTAATTATGGTTAGTGGGTGAAAACGCAAGCTCCATCATAAAAATATTGATTGTGGCACGATGCAAAGCCAAGTATAAAACTGAATCCTTAAAAATAAGTTTGTCTCCAGGTGGTGGGTTGAAAAAAACGAAAAATATATTGTCAATGATAACAAAGACATTTTACATTTTCAAAAGATGGAGGTTGAAATATTTAAGGGGCTCGAAATGAAATACAGAGCATATTTATGATGTGGGGATTAGGGCTGTGCCCGAATATCCGAATATCCGTTCGTTGGAGTACTATTCGCGTTTCAATTTCGTTATTTTTTTTTTTCATACACGTTATCGTTTACTTTCTCCGTCTTTATATGTAGATATTACTTTTCTCCGTCACGTTGTTTCCAATGCAACAACAACTTCCGGTCAACTACGCTAACTCTCCTTCAAAATAAAAGCATGTCCATAAATAGGAAGCCAAGCCAAGTTACACTTAAGACATATACAACTGCAACGAAAGTAACAAACACAATCCGATATCCTTTTCAATTTCAAAGAACACAAATTGGGTTACATTAACAAATAACTATAAAACAACAATACTGTAGAATAACAAAATGAATGCCGTGAATACACCGAAATACACGTGTTGAAGTGGTTTGCTGCTGATTACTACGCCCCCCCCCACCAGAGCCTGAAAAATGGTATTCGGGAGAGCCGAACAGGGCGATGGTTGAGTGGAGGCTGGGCATTACGCTTTGCCTACAACCCCCAAAACCTTTCATGATGATGTTTCTACTGCAATTGACTGCGAACAACCTCTACAAAATATAATCAATTATCCAAATCTTCCTCTAAAGAAAATCCATATTTGACATTAAAGTGTCATGTTTAGACTCACGTGCCCGTCTTGTCTACAGCCACAGAGCGCACGGCCCCCTGGTGACAGAGCATCTTGACGAGAGCTTCTTTCTGATTGGGCGACCACAGGGTGACTGTGCCGTTGGAGTGGCCGAGGTGGACGATGGCATTTTGAGGGTTCTGGCACATCACGTCCAGCCGGCCAGTCTTGGTGTTGATGGCTGCCACTTCCTTTCCAACAGACACATCCAGGTACTGCAGGAAGCTTGTGGCACTCTGAGGGCGAGAACAGGAAGGTTTGTGAGAGCAGATTGATGAGTGAATTAGGGTTAGGGTTATAAGTAGGGGATTGCTTTTACATTTCATATTTTACTTTACACAAATGTTTGAGAGAGAAATGTGAGGCAAAAAGACAGATGAAAGGGGCCGGTGGATACCGAGTAACTTATTGTAATATACCCTGCTTATAAACACACTTAGCTCAGTAAGGAACTTTAAAACACCTAGTGTCTAAACTTCGCAGCGATGCAATTATTTTCAAAGAAACATCCACAAAATTGCTTAGAAATCATAAGAAATTTGCCGACGAATCATTATTATTTTGCTATGTTTTCTTTCATTATCAAAGTAATCGAGTACAAGATGTCATACTGTTAACGATTTGGTCAAATGTAACCAATAGATGGCTTAAACAATCCGACTGCTTATCGATAGGGGGCCTCAAAGTGTAAAAACGCCTGCTCTACATAGTTTGGAAACTACTTGATATTGATTGAACTCTTTTATAGCGTCTGATAACTTGTCTTCATGGCCAGGTCTCTTTTGAAAAATAGATTTGAGTCTTATTGAGTATTTAACCTGGTTGAATAAAGAAGAAATATAAAAGATCTATTGAACGATGATACATCACAAACAGGTTGGCAAGCTTTTGTAATTGTGGTAATACTTTCAAAGTAAAATGCAATAGCTTGTGTAAATGACCTGGACGAACAGGTTAAATCAACTCACCACTGTTGCTAGCAAAAAGTGGTATGGGAGGAACTGCATTCGAAGGACGTCGTTAAATTTGCGGATGCAGTGGAGCTCGATGCCATTGGAGTCGTAGATATAGAGCCACTTCTTCTGAGCCACCGCATACATGGCCTCACTGTGGAGCCACCTTGATAAAGCAGAAATGTTTGTGTTTAGAGGAAAGATGTTTTACAGTTAAGTCAACTATTATTGCGTTGTACAAAGTGCGCTGTGTAGCTCTGCACAATGTGAGGCGTAGGACTTACTTTACATCATTGATGGACTCCATCACGTTTATCTCACACATTAGCCGTTTGGTCTGCCAGTCTATACAAGCAATATGGCCTCTCCTTCCACCGAGCAGCAGATGTCTGAAACCAAGAAAACACACTGTGAACAAAATGCACAAACATTCAATCAATATTTCGTTATAATGTGGAAGGACTCACTTTGAATGATAAAGCTATAGAAAGTTCAAGTCTGCAGTTTCCTCAGCTCTACAGAATGTTTTTAAATATTTCATTGCGTTTATATAGCCCAAGTCACAGATTTGCATGAAGTGGCTTTACAGTTTATGCAGAATACAACACACTCAGTATGGGTACAAGTAATCTCCCGCCAAAACATTTTTTTAAATAGATGTTGTATTTTTATCATTTTAGTTTTACAAACCGAATCAGGATTGTCTTGGTCGAGTCTCAACACTCTCATAAGGAGTTTTTAGGCAAATCTGGTAGTTGTTTTCAGTGAAAAAGCTCTGAGAAACTCACTGTACATTTCCTGCCCAGCATGTCAGACAATGTTAACACTATCAGGTAAACACAGCCGAGCATTTAGCAGGTAGGGAGCCAGATATTTACAAAACAGAACTAATAACGAGAGCAAATATTTGTCAGATGGACACAAAATGTGCAAATATTCATTATTAGTTGAACATACGTGCAGTTAATGGCTTCTAATCCAAAGAGGCAAAAAATCAGATAATGTGGGTTTAGATAGAAAAACATTTGGAGTTTATCTTCTCCTATTGCTGAGCTGACGGACTCGCCTCATTCGCAGCAACCCTTAGACAGAAACTTTAAACATGGTTTGAACAGGCATGGAGATTGAGATACTGACCGTCCAGTCCTGCTGTAATCCAGTCGATATGGTCCAAACTGAGACAGTTTCAGATCAAAATACTGAGAAAAAAGTGAGAGAGGAAACACAAATCAATGGAAGGTCTCATCCAGGGGAACAACATCTAACCTGCACATATCTTCATTAAATTGTTTTTGAAACTAAATATACAAATAATTAACACAATCTTGTAACCTCCTGAACATACAGTATTTTTCGTTTATTTTATTCTTGTTAATGAAATAGTGCTGAACTTAACAAGGGTTGTAATGCCTAACACATTATCCATATTAATACAATAAGTTGGGGATGACCTTTACTATTTGCAGCTTATTGTATCCCAGCAAGATCAGTTAAAAAATAGCTATATTTAAAAAGATAAAATAAAAACAGTAACATGTGGCCTGAACAAAGTATAGAGGCTGCTTGTGTTATCACAAAAGGCCCCATCACTTAAATGTCAGGAGTGTCCAGTTCATGTCCCACCTTTGACGCAGAGGTTATATCAACAGCATCTGAAATATCTTCCTGAGAGATTGTGCACGTGTCCTCATCTTCATCTCCTTCTAGAAACCTGAGATTGAAGGAAAATGTCACAATCATGATTTTAAACAAAAGGTTGAAGTGACATTTATCAAATTGCATCTCTGTCACATTATATACTGAAGCCAGAGCAGCCAGTCAACATTTAGAGGAAATTACCCAGCATCCTCTGGGAGTAGGAGGTCAATCCGAGCAGCTTGCTTCTGGGCCATTTCCGAAACTTCATCAGAGCGAGCCATCATGTCTTTCAGCTTGTAATGCTGCCGGGGAATCTAGAGCAAGAACAATAGAGGATCCTTGAATAGCTAGTAGCAACAGATAACTCCTTTTATTTACCAACGTGTCAAAAAGATTACCTTACCTTCTTAGTTTTATCTCTCCTCTTGAACTTCTGCATCCTGTCTTTAGAAATGTGTGCAGGCCCAGGGAAAGGGTCAGGTTTCTGAGAGAGTAGGAACAAGCATACAAATGAAGGGAACGTCTTTTAGAGCTGGGAGATATATTGATATAGAATCAGAAATAGACCCCAGTTACAAAAGTACTTCTACTTTGATTCAGATCAATGATATGCTATATTGGAAATATATATTTAAGCATGTTGTTTTGCCCTGTTATTAAAAAATAAATAAAAAAATTCCAACTTACCTTTAGTACATATGTGCTACTGTAAATACACATCTATAAGCAATCCCTTTGAACTGACCCAACATTATGCACATCGTATGTATTTTCAAATTACAACTTTTTTTTTTTTAACCTGCTTCCCCCCCCTCCCCCCCGACTTTGTATTGCAACTGCTGATAAACAATTTCTCTAGGGATGAATACAGTTTGTATTTGAATTTACGATTCAAAAAGTACATTCCTGTGATAATCCGTGGATATATTTCCCACTTCTCGGAGTGACACGACAATTATTTGTGTTTATATCAGATCTTCCAAAACAATCCATCGATCTCTGCTAGCTTGCCTTTTAACTAAAACGTCAAATGTATTTATCATTTAACGGCATTGCTTTGTCAAATAGTATTTGCACTTTGTTTCTTCCTTTTTTTGAATATCACTTTTAACTGCATCCCCTGTAGCAAATGTGATATATACAAAAAGCTTTATTATTACTTGTATTCACTTACCCCTGAGATGAACTTCTTTGCATCTCCTCGATCCTCATCGTTCTTTCTTTTCTTTGCTTTCTCGACGTGTTTCTGTGGCAGAGTCTCTCCAGTCTGTTCTCCATCTTTTCCAACTTTGTTTTCATCCTTTCCCTCCTGCGGCTCATCCCAGTATCGAGCAGGGGGCTGTTTAAGAGGAGCAAAGCGGAAACAGGTTTGCAAAAGCGATGTTAACAACAAGACAGAGAGTTTAGTGTACATTGGAGTCACTTTGTTAGAAGAGGTAGGGACCCTTTTTCTGATACGGCTACTGTTTTAGGTGCCCCCGCAAACAATACATGCTTACTGTCTACAGTACATGTCTCCCTTTGTAGACCACCACACGATATTGACTAGTGCTTTAAACCTGCAATGTGCAATATAGTCACTTTTCTTTCAATACTGTGCAATGATCACCTTTATTGTTATAAAGGTCCCAACATTTTTTTAATAATGTCTCAACACATAATTATATCGAAGTCAACAACTATTTTAAGTTGCTGCTCCTCGTTTTAAGCCATTGATGTGTATTAAATAGCTCTATTTTTAATAATGTGTGGTTTTCTTCTCTATGTTTAATAAGTTAGCGTATCTTTATAAATGCATGCCTTTTTTTCGTGCTATGCCACTTTTTGCTGTAATACTGTACATTTCCCCGCTGTGGGACTAATAAAGGATTTCTGATTCTGACATGTACATATATGCTTACAATATGTTCGGGACAACTAGTGCAGTAACTATGCTAAGCTTCTGCAAAGCGGAAGCAGCACTTGCCTTATTATTATTCATTATTACTAATATTAAGCGTGTCGCAGGTCCAAACTGCAGCACTTGTAGCATTACACCCAAAAAGTGTGAACAGTCCTATGTTCTCCTGTGCAAATTAACCTCAAAGTGTGCACGTATTGTGCACGCTTTTTTCAGAACATTTATAACGAAATATCCGAATGCAAGTCCAGTATACATGGTTCCGATGTGGGTTTATTTATCTGTGAAAATAGGAAAAAAGGGTAATCTCGCCTCACGAAAAAACCCGCAAACTCACACACACGCTGCTTGCATTAATTGCGTAGTGTTAGAAAAACTATCGCTACATTGAGTGTGTTAGTTTTGTTTTAAAACGTCAAGGTCTTTCTCAGATGACGTTATTCAAAGTTTAACTATGTCACAAACAACTTATTCGCAGTTACCTTCTTCGTTTTGTCCACGTGTGCTGGATTCACCACTGCCTCACTGGTGGCCGCCATCTTTGTTGTATATGTTTTTCAGTTCCTGTGACCTCACTTCTGATTACGTCACGTCCTGCTAAACATTGTTTAGTATTTTTTTATTCAGCACTTTTCTTACAGAATATAATCAAAACAGGAAAGTTGTAGTTCAACCAATTATGGTGGGAAGCTTTCTAGAACAAAAGTAATGAAGAATAGGAGTAGGCTGCCAATAGCTGCTGAAAATCAAGACAGAGAAAAATCAAAACAAGTCAGAAATAAAAGAGAGAAACAATCATGTAAAAAAAAATTAAAGCAAAGACTGAGCTTAATATGTGTTTCCCACCAGGAATAGGTAAAGGCTTATTTCGTTTTTTTCTCTCTTGTCTTTTAAATGGTTTAGTCTTTCTATTTACCTTTAACATATATTATATATATCGTTTTTAATTTGTTGAAATGCCAGAAATGCTACCCATACACAACTTTTTTGCATTCATATTTCTTTGATAGGGAGTCTGTTTTTAAATAGGGAAATAGTAGTTGACAACTCAAGAGCAACTAAAGGTCAACTTACAAGCTTTTTCAGGAGACTTTATCCACCTTTTATGATGCAATATAGTAAGTGGGCTATAGCCTGCAGTGCTGGGTGTTCTTCTATGCAGTTTAAGTCAATACAGTAAGAAGATTTGAAATTGCAAACTCTGATAACCACTGCAGCTTCAGGGCAGCATTACTGTATGTCAAAACATGTACAAACTTGACTATTGGGCCAACTATTCCACCGTTGGTCACATTTCACTTTTTCTATCCCTTTTCAAACATGAGAAAGGGAATTCTGCATCCAAGTGAAAATTGTAAATGGTGTATTTGAATTCAAAACATAATGTGCTTATCTGCAAATTTTTTGTATTAATTTCATGGCAAAAGCAGTGCAACCGTTTCCTTCCTTCCCCTCAAACACTTCCTCAACTTCTTGTTTATTGTGATTCGGTGCATAAGACATCCATTCTCTCTAGGATATGTGTTTTTCATTTGCCAGACAGCGCTATATGCGATGTAAGAAGAATGTGACTAAGAGAAAGAAATTCTATTGTTCTTGTCAAAGGAATGCCATATGTTTTGAGTTGAACCCATAAACACAACAATTCCCAAGGGGCTGAAATGTTTTAAATGTAGATGAAGTAGTTTCAAGCCCAATGCTTTTGGAAAAAAATAAAACATTTGACACATGGTAAAAACATTAAGAGTCATGGACCTATAGGTGGGAACTTATTTCGGGGCAAGGCAGGGGGAATGTTAAACACTTTGACCCCCCTGGTAATGTGTTTATATTTCCAACATTGACAGTGTTTGTTGTGCTTTGAATGGGAAACCTTGCATTTGTGTTTGAGAGTTTAAACACACCCCTGAATCAGGGCGTGGAAGTAAAATCCTTGAAGGATTTAAAAGGTTGACTTTTATCTAGGGGAAAGGGGAGTGGCCAGAAGACCAAATCATATCTGGGACTCTGCCTCCAATGTAATGCTGTGTAGTGTGAGAAGAGACAGGAATGCAAAAAGGGAAAGGCTTCAGCAGGAGGACAGAAACGTTTCAGATATATAGTGGAGTAACCAGCAGCATTCACCATGTCATTAGATCAGTACAAGGTATTTCTTCCAATTCATCTAAAGTCATTTTTCTAAGAGCTATATTGTGGTTTTACATTTAAATAAGGTTCATTTTCTTGTTTGACATGTAATGGTGGGAAGAATGACAAATGCATGCAAAGGTTTCACGCATTCATTCACTTTTTAACACAAATTT